ACTTCTTGGAAAGTCTGTGGATCTCCTTCCATATTATAGGTGATGAAGTCGTCTCTAAAATCTTTCTGTCTCCTGACATGCTTGGAAGATGGTTCAGTAACTCCTTCATCATTGACATTTTCAGTTTCTCTCGAAACTGGCTCCTCTTGTGCATCTGACGTACTAATATTCTCTGTTATATTTTTTGAGCAATAAGCCTTTATATTTGATAAACTTATCCTCAAAGAATTCTGCATCCCGAGCTTCAATGATGGAGTTGGTTCTAAGGTCCAAGAACCCGCACGCATTGCTATCTTTAGAGAAGCCAAGAAACACACATTTGTTAGCCTTTGGTCCGAACTTTAGCCTTTTAATATCTGGAATTTGAACATATACGAGACACCACCACACTTTGAGATTATCCAAAGAGTCTGGATATCCCAACCATAACTGATGAGGAGTACTATCAGTTTTGGAGTAGGGTACTCTGTTTAGAATCCAGTTTGCCATCAACAAAGCCTCTCCACAATAGCGGGTAGGTAAACCAGATGTGATTAGCATCAAATTCACCATCTTGGTTAATGTGTGATTCTTCCTTTCTGCAATCCTATTAGATTACGGAGAATACAGAGTAGTAGTTTCAGCAATGATTCCATACTCCTTGAAGTATACTTCCGACTCCTTAGATTGGTACTCTCCTCCTCTGTCGCTCCTGAGTCTTTTTACCTGCAGTCCAAGCTACTTCTCCACTTGAGTTTGAAACTTGACAAATTTGTTGAATGCTTCATCTTTAGATTTTAGCAGGTAAACGTGGCAGAAACGAGAATGGTCGTTAATAAAGGTAATGAAGTACTTCTTGCCGTCATGAGTGATGAAGCTCTTGAAGTCACAAGTATCTGAATGAATCAGATCCAACAGGTTAGTGTTCCTTGTGACGCTTGAAAATGGCTTCCTCACCAGCTTTGCTTGCACGCAAACTTCACATTTCTCAGGTTTGTTACCCTCACATTTTGGAAGTAATCCTAACTTCTCCATGCTAGACAATTTTCTATAATTTACATGTCCTAGCCTATTATGCCATAATACAAGGGAGTAAGCAGAAGACGATACTTTATTTATAACCAAGTTGAGTGTAATAATACTAATCTTATACATGCCACCAGTACGATATGCATTGTCAAAATATATTTTTTTAAAGGATAATACAGCCTTACCTCCTTGGAAATCTAGCCTCATACCTACATCACATAGCAGGCTTTCAGAGACTAAGTTTTTAGCAATTGAGGAAACATGTTTCACATCCTTCAATGTGAGAGTCTTTCTTGAAGAGAGAGTCAGCACCACATTCCAAGTTCCAAGAACAGGAACCACAGAACGATTAGCCATTGATACGTTCTCTTTGGCAGCAACATAAGAAGAGAACAAATCTCTATTAGAGCAAACATAACAAGTAGCACCTGTATCTAACCACCAATCAGAGATATTACTACTAGGAGTTATTACCTAGAAGATCATAGCCACACAATCATCCGCTTGATTGACATTGTGTGTAGTTTCTTTCTTTAGTGCTTTGTAGTCTTTGTCAAATTATCCTTGCTTCCCATAATTAAAGCATTTACCGTTCTTCTTGAACTCCTTCTTCTGAACGTTCAGGTTCTTTGGATTCTGGTTCTTCCTTTTGTTAAAGAACTTATTCTTCTTGTTGAAAGATGAATTATTACACTTTTCAGAGTTAGCAGCCATCATGTTAGTAGACGCCTTCTGCTTAGCGATGAGCTCATTCTTCGTGCGAGTCCGAGTCTCGTCCTCGATTCGAATGAATCTTTTCAAATCAAACAGAGTCACCTATTTTCTTCTTCTTCGAATGTCAGTGAAGAATGATATCTAAGATGGAGGAAGCTTGTTAAAAATTACACCAGAAATGAAGGTTTGACAAAGACTGGTTTTTCATCTTTCAACTTCATAACAAGCTTTTCAAGCTCTTTGACTTGAGGCAAAACCTCAGTGTCATCTTCGAACTTAAAATCTAGAAACTTGCCGATGAGGTGAGATTTGGACAATTTCTCTTCATCCTTATACTGGTCCTCCAGAATATTCCAGATTTTCTTTGCAGAGGGTTTGTTGGTGTAAGCATCTGTTAGATGATCGATTAGGCAGTTAAGGAGATAACTCCTGCAGAAGTGATCATCTCTAGCCCAAGAGGCTTCAGACTTAGAATCTTCTTTAGAGTCGGGTTTCTCCTCGGAGACCACATAGTAGATTTTTAAGAGTTATATCCCGAAGATCACTTTCCGAAGCTATGCGTTGAAGTTGGAACCGTCAAAGTTCTCTAACTTAAGACAGTTCACTCCAAGAGTCCTTGTAGGATCCATGGTAGATCATATTATTGCTTTAAGATTGTTGGCGCCTGTGGTTAAATATGGAATAATACAGATATAAAATATCAAAAACTGAAAAGAAAGCTGAAGTGCAGTAATTTAAAATTTTCTAACTCAGCTGTTGTGCGTTTGTAAAACGTTGCGCTTAAAATAATATTTGGCCTACTCCGATACAAGGATCCCAAGGCCAAATTGCTTCCAGGAACAGTAGTACAGTACTCTGATGTTCACCAACTCAGTACTGTCAAGATCCCTCGATCTATAGGACCTCTCGGTTAAGGCAACGATCTCTTCGATCTATAAGACCTTCTCGGTCAAGGCAACGATCTCCTCGATCTATAAGACCTTCTCGGTCAAGGCAACGATCTCCTCGATCTACAAGACCTTCTCGGTCCAGTCAACAATCTCTTCGATCTATAAGACCTTCTCGGTATAGGCAATGTTCCTATGAACACTAGCTATTTTACAACATATATATATATATGCTTTGACACCTCACTACCAAGCGCAACTTTTTGTGCTTAGTACCAAGCATACCCATATTTCTCATATATATATATATATATATTGATTGTTGTTTTTTGAATGGATTTTCCTTAAGGATTTGAAGTCTATTTATAGCGTTTGGGAAAACACTATGCACATTATGATTAATTTTCAACAAGTTAGGCTAAGGTCACTTGTGGTGGGGCCCACAAGCTTTAAAAAAATAAACTATCTAACAAAGACAATTTGATTCATCTATTTCCATAATAAGCGTCTAAAGTAGAAATAGCACTTTGGCTTAGACCTCATAAGGTCTTTTAAAATGCAATTAATAAAGGCTAAAAATAGCACTTAAATAGCTTATAGTTTCACTCAATTGGCACATATATATCCTCCTTTGTCTTTTGCAGAATTTATATACCCTAAGTTGTTTAAAATTAGCAAATTAGTACCCTCTATTATGCAAACGTGAACTTTTATCTAAATGTTATTGTGTGACACTTAAAATCAATTAGCATGTGAGTGCCAATTGAGAATATTTGGGTGCAAATTTTTACATTTAAATGATAGAGGTACTAATATGCCAATTTTAAATAACTTCGGGTATATAAATGCTTCGAAAAACAAGTGAGTAGTGTATAAGTGCAAAGTGATTGGAAGTATAAGGTATTTAAATGCTATTTAGCCTTAAATAAAGAGGTTAATTGCCGATTGACACCTTACGATCGCCCAAGTGCTAATAAGCCCTTCTTAGTTCTATAGTTACAGATAGATCTTCTAGCTGAAAATTTTCCAACTCTTTTATACTCCAGGAAACATAAATTTGATTTTTGACGAAGAGATCCCCAGAGGGCCTGTTTGGATTTGTAGGGGGTGAAGGGAAGTTAAGGGAAACTGAGAGAAGGGAAGGGAAGGGAAAGGAAGGGAGTTCCCTTCCCCTTGGTTACACCCTAATTTGGGGGTAACAAATTTTATACTATTAGGGGGTGAACCAAGGGGAACTAGGGTGAATTAACTTCACATTCTAAGTGTTCCCAAACAAAATGAATGGAAGTGAATGGTTTCCCTAACTTCCCTTCACGCTCATTCCCCTCAATCCAAACAAGCCCTGAGGGAAAAAGAGTAAAAATTTTCACTCGGGGGCTCATATCTCTACCAATAGAACTACGCGGGGTATTATCCGCAATTAACCCAAACAAAAGCGCAACTGAGAAAGCAGAACGGGGAATCTCCAAAAGCATTATGAAACTTTGAGATGCATCAAAATCACATGTTTGTGCGCCCCGCAGTCTAATAAAGAGTAGAAATCGTAGGAACATCGATCTCGGTTTGGTGCAGGGCGGGACAATAAGTAAATAAATAAAAAATAAAAATAAAAATAAAAATCAAAATGATGTCTTCCAACGAAACAAGAAGCCTAAGAGAGGTACCTCCCTGTCCAATTCATTGTCTCCCCTCCTCAAAACCCCAACCGAATCAATCCTTAGAAGATGCAGGGGGACGCAAACTGTCGCCAGCTCAAAGAACTCGCTCAAGGAAGAGTAATAAATCTGCCTGCGCTCAAAAAGGCAGCTAACCTGTTCGGAGAAATGTCCAAGCGAAATCAAGATTTTGTTCCAGTACGGGGTGAGCCGAGGTGGTTGTTGCTTAGCATTATGCCAGCCAAGTGCCTGGGTTCGATTCCCCATCGTGAATTCACATGGCCCTATTGATGGCTCAGTTAACGGTCCCTTCTTGGCTCAGTTAATTTATACACGTCTCATATCTTATTTCCCTAGGGAACTTTAGTTCAGTTAATATTATCTTTAATGCAGTGTACGTCTTTAAATACATTGGCAGCCATATACAGTGTATCATAGAATCCAGACTAGTTGACACCCTCTTGCAATGTTAACAGCAAATCTTGAACATTAGGTTTCATCGATCATTTTAAGACCGATATGATGTGTTTCAGTGTTTTAAGGTGACAGCTTTCTTCTTCTTCTTCTTTCCATTTATTGTTTTGAATATAGCAATTTTTATGCATATGTCTTGTGAAAACTTCTTTACTTTCGTTATAGTTTTTTAGAGAGGATACATACATCACCCATTATAGCCGTCTCTATTTTCTATGGACATAATCCACATGCTCATGTCAAGGCTGGATCACTTTTGCAGGAGGATGTAATAAGAGAGACCATTGAAGATGCTGGATTCCAAGCGGCGTCAATTAAACAAGAACCAAGGGAAAACTCTACTCTAATATGCAGAATTCGAATAAAAGGAATGACTTGTACGTCTTGTTCAAGTACTATAGAATCAGCTTTAAGAGAGATTTGTGGAGTCCAGAGAGCTTTGGTAGCATTGGCAACTGAAGAAGCAGAAATTCAGTACAATCCTAAGCTTGTAAGTGCTAATCAATTCATGGAGGCAGTTGAAGATACTGGTTTTGAAGCTGTGCTTATCAGCACAGGAGAAGATATGAATAACGTACATCTCAAGCTGGAAGGAGTTCACACTGAAAAATCTCTACAGATGATTGAAAATTGTCTTCTTGCCCTCCCCGGGGTTGATGTCATAAAAATCAATCCTGTGCTTCAAAAGATTTCTGTATCATATAAACCAGACCAAACAGGTCCTCGTAACTTCATTGATGCTATCGAGTCAATAAAATATGGAAATTTTCAAGCTTCGATATACCCTGATGGAGGGGGAAAGGAAATTCACAGACATGACGAGATTATGCGGTATCATCGACATTTTCTTTGGAGTTTAATTTTTACAGTCCCAGTGTTTCTCTCATCTATGGTCTTCATGTATATCCCAGGAATCCACCATTGTTTAGAAACTAAAGTGGTGAATTCGTTAACAGCTGGAGTTATTTTCAGGTGGATATTAACGACTCCTGTCCAATTTATAATTGGAAGGAGATTTTACATTGGTTCGTATAAAGCCCTCCGAAAAGGAGCTGCCAATATGGATGTTCTAATCGCCCTTGGGACCAATGCAGCATACTTTTATTCACTTTATTCTGTGCTTAAAGCAGCAACATCTAAAAATTTTGTGGGGACTGATTTTTTTGAGACTAGTTCAATGCTCATCTCTTTCATTCTGCTTGGAAAATATCTTGAGGTCTTAGCCAAAGGGAAAACATCTGAAGCCATTGCCAAGCTTATGGACTTGACGCCCGAAACCGCAGTACTATTAGTATATGATGAAGACGGGAATATGTTCAGCGAGAGAGAAATTGATAGTCGATTGATACAAAAGAACGATGTGATAAAAATAATGCCTGGAGGAAAAGTGGCTTCAGATGGTTTCATTTTATGGGGTCAGAGCCATGTCAATGAGAGCATGATAACAGGTGAATCTCGACCTGTTGCAAAGGAGAAGGGTGACAGAGTAATTGGTGGGACTGTTAATGAGAATGGCGTGTTGCATGTGAAGGTAACACATATAGGTTCTGAGACTACTCTTTCACAGATTGTTCGTCTTGTTGAGTCAGCACAGTTGGCAAAAGCTCCAGTTCAGAAATTTGCGGACCGAATCTCCAAGTATTTTGTTCCTCTAGTAAGTTAACCTGGATTTTTTTCGCCCTCTTCATTTTAGGGGTTCTGCATTTTTTGAGATCATGAATATCCCAAATTAATTTTTTGGAGTGAAATTTCTGAAAGTTAATTTTTTTTAGAAAGATGGGTTAACTTGTTAGGGAAATACCCGGGGCTACGCTAAACCCTTACAACAGCAGAAACACAGTATAGAGAAAAGTACACCAATATTTAACGAAGTTCGGCAAACTTGCCTACGTCCTCGGGAGCCACATAATTAATTTCTTACTAATCTAAGAAATTACAATGCAAGAGCAGATCTCAAACTTGAGATCTCTCAATAAATACAACACCAATACTGTAGCTACAGGGTTAATTTCCTCTCTTAAATACAAATTCCCTCTCTTAAATTCTCTCTTTTATTCCCCCCCTCAAATCGCGTGAGAGCTGGAGAAAAGAAAAAAGTGCAGAGAGAGAAAGAGGAGCCGCCACCGCTTGGGTGAAAATCGCGAGAAGGAGGAGGAGAAGCAGCAGGGGCTAGGGCACAGGGTTTTCCTTTTATAGGGAAACCCTAGCCCCTCTTGATTTGGGTAAGCTCCCCTTCACAATCCTCTCATTTTTTTGATAAAGATTGCATTTTTACTCTTGTAATGGGCAAAGGGGTTGTGTATGCACAATGCTTTGGGGGGTTTTGTGCAAAAGAGGCAATATGGCCGAATTTTGAGGCTGTCGACAGCCTGTGAAGAGCTCGCCTGCGCAGAGCCGCCTCGCCCGCGGATTTCCTCGAGCTCGCCTGCAACGCCCCCAAGCTCGCCTGCGGAGCTGCATCGCCTCAAGCTCAGCTCGTCTGACACAAGCCTTGAGCCCCCCCTCGCTTGTAGTCCTCCTCGACCACGCCTGAACTTCGATCTCGAGCTCGCTTAACGATCTTCTCAAGCTCGCCTCGAGCTCGCCGTCGATCTCGCTTGCTCGACTTCGGATCTCGCCCTTGCCCGTACCACGCTTGAGCTCGCCTGAACTGCGTCGACGTCGCCAGAGCTCGCCTCGATTTCAAGCTCGTCGCCTGCAGGTTTGGTCTACACCTAAACCAATAATCTCCTACTTAGAGACCAAACCGTCATCAACAGGCTATCTCAACAAACACCTTCTCCTGTGTGCCTCCACCCTCATCACCTATACATGAAGGCCAACTGAAGTTGCGCACAACTTCAGTTTCTGAAAGGTCACTGCCTTTGTCAACATATCCGCTGGATTCTTACTTCCTTAGATCTTCTGTTGAAATCCTTTGACAACTTGTCGAGCTCTGTATCTTCTGGAACCATCATGTTCCTTTTTCACTCGATACACCCACTTGTTGTGATGTGCCTTCTTTCTCATGGGCAACTCAGCTAGTTTCTATGTCTGGTTAGAGATCAGAGATATCATCTTTTTTTCATGGCAAGCTCTTACTTGCTCGCATCTCCACTCTGACAAGCTTCATCAAAGCTTTCAGGCTCCCCTCCATCCGTCAGCAACATATAATTCATGTATCTGTTGTTAGGCACAGGAGGACGAGAAGATCTTCTCAATATCGGAGCTGGTGCGTCGGGCTCCTGCGCATCGTTCTGTCCAACAGGCTCTTCTGGCTTAGGACCTTCTGCATTGGGTTCTTCCGAGAGGTAACTCGGGACATCACCTGTATCTACAAATATTGACTCGCTCTCTAAGTCATTTGTCTTGTGCGTGTCCTTGTACATCACCTTCTCGTTGAATATCACATCTCTGCTGCAGATCACTTTCTTATTTTCGTTATCCAAAATACGGTAGCCGAACTCATCTTCGCCATAACCGATGAAAGTGCATTTCTTAGACTTGGGATCAAGCTTATTCCTGCCTTGATCACTAATATGCACATAAGATACATAATCGAAAACTTTGAGATGTGAGAGTTTTACCTCCTTTTTGTACCATACATCATCTGGTATTCTGTGCTCCAATGGAACCGATGGATCTCGGTTGATCAAGTAAGCTGTTGTGCTGATCGTTTCAGCCTAGAACTGCTTTGGTGGACCTGACTGTATACGGATATTTCTGGCTCTCTCTGTCAATGTTCTATTCATGCGCTCAGCTACACCATTGTGCTGGGGCGTGCCGGGCACGATTCTCTTCATTCTAATCCCGTGCTCATAGCAGAACTTCTTGAATCTGGTATCTTTATACTCACCACCATTGTCTGTTCTGAGTTTCTTTATTCTCAGTCCGGTCTTATTCTCGACCATGGCTTTTCATCTCCTAAAAATCTCAAATACTTCTGACTTATGCTTCAGAAAGTAGACCCATACTTTCCGAGAGTGATCATCGATAAAAGTCTTATGCTTCAGAAAGTAGACCCATACTTTCCGAGAGTGATCATCGATAAAAGTCACGAAGTAGTGTTTCCCACCAATGCAGAAAGTAGACCCATACTTTCCGAGAGTGATCATCGATAAAAGTCACGAAGTAGTGTTTCCCACCAATGGATGCGGTGATGGTTGGTCCCCAAACATTTGAGTGAACGAGCTCTAGCTTCTCCTTCCTAGGGGGTCTGCTACTTGTCTGAAAGCTGACTCTTTTCTGCTTTCCAAGTATGCATTCTTCACACATATCCATCTCCACTAACTGCAGTCCTGGGAGTTTTTCCTTCGTGTGTATGATATTTAGCCCCTTCTCACTCATATGACCGAGTCTCTGATGTCATAGCTTTAAAGTCTCATTGTCTGCTGCAACTGAGATCAAACAACGTGTACCTGCTGTCATATACAGGGTACTAGTGTTCTTACTTCGGGCAATTATCATTGCCTCTTTTAAAATCCTCAATCATCACCATGGAAAGTCATAATGTAGCATTCACTAGCCAGCTGGCTTATTGAGATTAAATTCTTTTTCAGGTCGAGAATATGCCTGATATTCTTCAACTCACATACTGACCAGTTCAACTTAATCTTCACTACACCTTTGCCAATAATGGTACACGGTTGATCATGACCAGGGTATATATTTCGAAGGTTTTCAGGAATATACTTCTTGAGGAATTCTTTCTAAGAAGTAGCATGGAATGATCTTCCAGAGTCCAACACCCAAGACTCCTCCTTGTTCTCCAAAGAGCATATCAATGCATCATCTCTTCCTGAGGTGGAAGCAACATTTGCATCTGTCTTTGCCTCCCACTCCTTCTGTGCACTCTTGCACTGATTCTTGTAGTGCCCGATTTTTCCGTACTTTCAACACTCGATAGTCTTCGAGCTACTGGAATTCCTGGATTTGGACCTCCTGTCCTCTGATCTATTTCCTCTGGTTGAATTTCTACCTCTTGACTCTGTATGGAATACTGAAGAGGTTGTAGCTTCACCCGACTCTCTCCGTCGGATCTCCTCACTGAGAACCAAATCACAAATGTCATCGAACTTCAACTTGTTGCTTCCCGACAAGTTACTCACAGTTGTGACTATAGTATTCCAGCTTTCTGATAGGGAAGACAAAAGGATCAACGCTCGTACTTTATCAAACTCAATATCAACTGAACTCAATTGGGTCGTGACTGTATTGAGTTTATTGAGATGATGTGTTACCGATGCACCTTCCATCATTCACAGATTGAATAACCGTCTCATCAAATAAACTTTGTTTGAGGCTGATGTCTTCTCATACATATTTGAGAGTGTTGCCATAAGACTCACCATGACCTTTTTCTTTGCAATGTTAAAAGAAACATTACGGGTTAATGTCAAACGAATAACCCCGAGGGCCTGTCTGTCTAGAAGATTCTAATCTTCTTCCTTCATACCCTCCGGCTTCTTTCCTGAGAGAGATTGATACAGATTTTTTTGATACAGATATTCCTTTATCTGTATTTTTTAGAATCCGAAATCTGATCCATCAAACTTCTCTAATCTCACATTTACTTCATCTGTGGTCATCGCTCCTACTTGAATCTGACTTTCTCAAAATCGTTTCAGGCTCTAATACCAGTTATTAGGGAAATACCCGGGGCTACGCTAAACCCCCAAAACAACAAAAACGCATTATAGAGAAAAGTACACCAAGATTTAACGAGGTTCGACAAACTTGTCTACGTCATCGGGAGCAACAAAATTAATTTCTTATTAATCTAAGAAATTACAATGCAAGAGCAGATCTCAAACTTAAGATCTCTTAATAAATGCAATAATAACACTGTAGCTACAGTGTTATTTTCCTCTCTTAAACACCCATTCCCTCTCTTTTAAATTCTCTCTTTTATTCCCCCCTCAAATCGCGTGAGAGCTGGAGAAGAAAAAAGAGCAGAGAGAGAAAGAGGAGCCGTCGCCGCTTGGGTGAAAATCGCGAGAAGGCGGAGGAGAAGCAGCGGGGGCTAGGGCACAGGGTTTCCCTATAATAGGGAAACCCTATCTGAGCTATCGACAGGTTGTCGACAGCCTGTGAAGAGCTCGCCTGCGCGGAGACGCCTCGCAGGCCCTGCCCAAGGGGTAGACGAGAGAGGCGATTGCCTAGGGCCCCAAAAAACAGGGGCCCCAAAAACTCCGAACTTCCTTTGATGATTGAGGACAATATTAAAAAAAAATCATGGGAGTCTCATATTCCATGAGATTGGGATCTTTGACGTAGTTACCAAAGTGAGAAAACGGAATTAGAGTCAAAAGAAAGAGGAAAACAGCAACATGGCATTGCGTGCTCCGGCACATGACAGACATTATATAAGTCAACTTATACGAATATTAAATATTTTCTCCACGTGGGAATGCCCACTCCTTGTCTCCCTCTATAAATTTGCACTGCAGACGCCTTTAGGGTTTTTGTTTGCCTAGGGCCCCCGAATGCTCGGGGCCGGTCCTGACGCCTCGCCCGCGGATTTCCTCGAGCTCGCCCGTAAAGCCCCCAAGCTCGCCTGCGGAGCTGCGTCACCTCAAGCTAGCCTAACGATCTTCTCAAGCTCGCCTCGAGCTCGCTGTCGACCTCGCCTGCTCGACTTCGGATCTCGCCCTCGCCCGCGCCACGCTTGAGCTCGCATGATCTGCGTCAACGTCGCCTGAGCTCGCCTCGACTTCGAGCTCGTCGCCTGCATGTTTGGTCAACATAACTGGCAAGGTAGCAATTATAACTGGCAAGGTAGCATTTATATTGTCTTGGAAGAATAGTCTGAAATATTTGAGATAGAGCTGTTATCTAAAACTTCATGCTATTGTATCTTTCAAATTGTGTCGTCTTCAGTAATGAATTATGAATTAGGGGGATTTCATCTCTATAAATGATACTATGAACTGAGTTATGCAGAAAAACTATAGCGATACTTGTTATTATTTTGTGGTACCATTTTTATCCAGATATGGTGATAGATTAGCTTCTAGGGTGTTTAGGCAACTTATCCATCACAAATGTATGGGGATCCATCTTCTGCTAACTCTTAACATAAGGTCACTGAACGTAATTGCACAAAATTTGCTAATAGACATTACCTTTTCATCAACTTCTGGTGCATACTGTATCAATACTGTTCACCTTCTTTTGAAATGAACTTTATGCATTCCTTGATGTACAATTTCAGTTGTTTATTCACTAATTATTATATTTTGGCATCAGATAGCAACAAGAAAGTAATGAAATATACTTATATGCATACAAGGCCATTGTGCAATTTGTGGCTTTGTTATATAGTGTTTTGACTGTCGTACCATATGCCGAAGTACTGATTGCTAACCTTTTTACATATCTCATTATGAAAGTAGATCAGATATTGCTTATCTTTGCCTAATGTTGCACAACTTACTTGGGTTTTTGCAGGTCATTTTTCTTGCATTTTCCTCTTGGTTTTTGTGGTTTTCAGCTGGGATTTTTAATTATTACCCCGAAACATGGATACCATCTTCAATGAATAGTTTTCAGCTTGCTCTTCAATTTGGCATATCAGTGATGGTCATAGCCTGTCCATGTGCACTTGGCCTTGCAACTCCTACTGCTGTTATGGTGGGTACAGGGATTGGTGCTACTCACGGAGTGCTGATTAAAGGAGGTCAAGCATTGGAAAGTGCTCATAAGGTATGTATGAAAGCCTTTCTGTGCGCTTTCCACTGTAATCAGATGACACTTTACAAGTCTATACTTTTCCATGAAACAAAGATGAAATGTCGAGGAGATGAGGGATTGTTGGATGCATTCTTTGAAACAAAAGACAAGAAGTTTCGTGCTCTTGATGCACTAAATCTGAAAAGCATTTAAATGGGGTTTTTAAAAGAGGAATGCAAAAACCATGCTGAACAATTTTCAAATTGGCTTCAAGATTTCTAAATCTGAAAATTATTTGATCCCCTTCTGCACCTTATGATTCAGATCTTGACCCTGTGCATTTATCAGACATAGACTTGAACAAACTTTTCTTTTCATTTTTTCTTCATTTCATAGAACCTACATTAAATTTATGTTTTATTTACCATAAATTAAATATGTGTAGTATATTAGAATTCCTCACCAACTTAGATTATTCTAGAACAACTTTCTAGAACTTCTTTCTAGTAACATCCTACAAAATATCTACCATGAAGTTTCTAGGAAGATACAAGTGTATGGCTAGTATTTATTCTTCTAGAAACTTCTTAGTAATGTATGGCTAGGATTAACTCTTCTACACACTTCCTAGCCCTCTTAAACAACTATAAATAGGGGTCTTGTGCTCTCATTTGGGCAAGCAAGCAAGCAAGCAAGCAAGCAAGAAGTAAGCTTGAAAGCTTGAGTGTGTAGTGTAGCCTTGTGTGAGTGTCCACCAAAATAAAGGAATTGTGTGAAAGTGAGGTGTTCTTGTAAGAACAAGTGTTGTATTCTCAAGTGTTCTATCAATAAAAGTTTCCTTTGTGTAGAGTGTTGTGTTCTTCAAATTCCATCAAACTGGTATCAGAGCAAAGTTCGATCTAGCCGGGCCAATCGAAGGTGCTCGTGTACGAGATGGCGAACATGATCCAGCCACAGATTCCGAAGCTGATGAAGACCAATTACGACAACTGGAGTATCCAGATGAAAGTCTTGCTCGGCTCGCAAGACTTGTGGGAGCTCGTGGAGAATGGCTACACTGAACCAGAGTCACTTGCAGCAGAAGCAACTCTCACCGCCACACAGAAGAGTGAGCTGAAGGAGGTCAGAAAAAGAGACAAAAAAGCTTTGTTCCTAATATTCCAAGGCGTAGATGAATCTGCGTTTGAGAAGATTTCCAATGCCCTGTCCTCTAAAGAAGCATGGGAGATTTTACAAAAATCCTATCAAGGTGCGGAAAGAGCCAAAAAGGTACGCCTCCAAGCATTAAGAGTTGAATTTGAAAATTTGAAGATGAAAGCTACAGAATCAATATCGGATTATTTTAGTAGAGTTCAGACAATAACAAATCAAATGAAGAGAAATGGAGAAGCAATTAATGATGTAAGAATTATGGAGAAGATACTTAGGACTTTAGACTCTAAATTCAAATATATTATTCCGGCAATACAAGAGTCTAAAGATCTTTCCGAAGTATCTATTGATGAGCTGCAAGGTTCTCTGCAAGCTTATGAACAAGATATAAACATTAGTTCAAATCAAGCGGAGAATCTAGAACAAGCCTTGCAGAGTAAGATGACTATCAAAGAAGATAGTCGAAGAGGACGTGGAGGCTACAGAGGCAGAGGCTCATTTCGAGGTGGCTCAAACTTCCAGCAAGGTCGTAGGAGACAGTACCAAGGAGGCCATGAAAATCAAGATCGAAATAGAGATCGTGAACGATCATTCGATCGAGGACGAGGTCGTGGCACACGAGGACGAGGACAAGGAAGAAGTTACCATGAGGACAGATCTCAGCCACAGTGTTACAAATGTAAGAGATACGGTCATCTCAGCTACGAATGTTGGGAGAAATCAAATCAAGTGGCAGAAAGAAGCAACTTTGTAGAAAGGGAGCAGGCAGACACTTCAACAGTCCTGTTGACGTACCAGGAGAGCGAAAGCAAGAATAAAGATATCTGGTATCTAGATTCAGGTGCCAGTAACCACATGTGCGGCATCAAGGAGTTCTTTACCGAGCTGAACGAGATGGTACAAGGAGATGTCACTTTTGGAGATCAGTCAAAGATTCCAGTAAAAGGCAAGGGAAATATAATGATCCAGACAAAGACGGGCGAGAACAGGTACATCTCTGATGTCTACTATGTTCCAGCATTACGAAATAATATTTTGAGCCTAGGCCAGCTCCTTGAAAGAGGCTATGATATACATCTAAAAGACCTTGCCCTCACTATTAAAAATAAAAATGAAGTTATTGCAAAGGTGAACATGTCTAGAAATAGACTGTTTACCTTAAATATTCATGCTGACCCTGTCAAGTGCTTGAAGTCAATCATAAAAGACGAGACTTGGCTCTGGCATCTACGATTCGGGCATCTCGCTTTCAGTGGCCTGAATCTTCTATGGAAGGAGAAAATGGTAAAAGGATTGCCGCAAATCAACCATCCGAACCAGCTATGTGAAGGCTGTATGAAGGGCAAACAACATAGAAGAAGTTTCGAAGTTGGAAAGTCAAGAAGAGCAACAGAGTTGCTACAATTGGTCCACACAGATATTGCAGGACCATTTGAAGTCATCTCTCTTGGAGGAAACAGGTATTTTCTCACATTTATTGATGATTATAGCAGAAAAACTTGGGTTTATTTCCTGAAGGAGAAATCCGAAGCTCTGGAGAAATTCAAAGAATTCAAGGAGATGGTAGAAAAGCAAAGTGGGTACCACATCAAAGTGCTCCGATCAGATCGAGGTGGAGAATACACTTCGAAGGCATTCAACAATTTCAACAAGCAGTACGGGATAATTCATCAACTCACTGCCGCCTACACACCACAGCAGAATGGCATAGCAGAGCGGAAGAATCGTACCATTCTTGATATGGTCAGAAGCATGTTGAAGAGCAAGTACCTGCCAAAGACTTACTGGGCTGAAGCCGTGGACTGTGCAGTTTACCTCCTCAACAGATGTCCGACAAAGAGCGTCAAGTTCAAGACACCATTGGAGATGTGGAGCAACATCAAGCCAAGTGTCAACCACCTGAAGGTGTTTGGGTGTATTGCATATGCACACATCCCGGAGCAGAAAAGAAAGAAGTTGGACGATCGAGGAGAAAAGTGCATATTCGTTGGGTACGAGAGGAGGACAAAAGCATACAAGCTCTACAATCCAGTTACAAAGAAGATGATCATTTCAAGAGACGTGGAGTTCGATGAAGAAGATTATTGGAAATGGACCGATGAAGATAAAAATATTAAAGGTATGTTCTTTGAAGATAATGATGATGACTTGCAGGAGGTTGGAAGACCAGAACAAAGTCCACCTAATAGTCCAGCTCCATCAACCCCAACATCAACGCCGACATCATCCAGCTCAAGTGAAGGAAGCTCTTCAGGGGGAGCAACAAGGAGGATGAGAAGCCTAAGAGATCTGTACGACGATACAGAGCCTGTCGAGATGATGGATGACTACACACTATTCTGCTTGTTTGCAGAATGTGATCCGGTCAGCTATGAAGAAGCTGCTCAAGAAGATAAGTGGAGAAAAGCCATGGATGACGAGATCGAGGCAATCAAGAGAAATGACACATGGGAGCTCACTACCTTACCTGAAGGCCATAAACCAATCGGAGTAAAGTGGGTGTACAAGACAAAGACAAATCAAGATGGCGGAATCGAAATGACACATGTGAGCTCACTACCTTACCTGAAGGCCATAAACCAATCGGAGTAAAGTGGGTGTACAAGACAAAGACAAATCAAGATGGCGGAATCGAGAAGTACAAGGCCAGGCTTGTTGCAAAAGGCTATAGTCAGCGAGAAGGAGTTGACTATGAAGAAGTGTTCGCACCAGTCGCGAGGATCGACACCATCCGACTCATTATCGCATTGGCAGCACAGAACCGGTGGAAGATCTACCAGATGGACGTGAAGTCTGCATTCCTGAACGGCTACTTAGAAGAAGAAGTCTACATCAAGCAACCACCAGGGTACGAGGTGAAGAATCAAGAAGACAAAGTCTACAAGCTGAAGAAGGCATTGTATGGACTGAAGCAAGCGCCCAGAGCATGGAATGCCAGAATCGATGCATACTTCCAGAAGAACGGATTCCATCGGAGCCCGTATGAGCACTCTCTCTATACCAAGAAGAAGGATGAAGACATCATGATCGTATGTCTCTATGTGGACGACATGATCTTCACCGGCAACAATCCGAAAATGTTCGAGGAGTTCAAAAAGAATATGATCAAAGAGTTCGAGATGACTGACATTGGAGAAATGTCATACTTTCTTGGAGTAGAAGTGTCGCAATCAGAGAAAGGAATCTTCATCTCTCAGAAGAAGTATGCAAAGGATATCCTTCAGAAGTTCAACATGAGCAACTGCAATCCAGTCGCAACTCCTGCAGAAGTCGGAGTGAAGCTGATGCGAGACACACTAGGAAGCTATATTGATCCAACTCTATACAAGAGCTTAGTCGGGAGCTTGCGCTACCTAACCATCACCAGGCCCGACATAGTGTTCGCGGTAGGACTGGTGAGCAGATATATGGAGGAGCCAAGACAGGAGCATTTCAAAGCAGCCAAGAGAATTCTTAGGTATGTCCGAGGAAGTATTGATCAAGGATTATTTTATACACAGTGTGCAGATTCAAGATTAGTCGGCTACACCGACAGCGATTATGGTGGAGATTTAGATGAAAGAAAGAGCACATCTGGCTACATGTTCAATATCGGATCAGCAACATTCTCATGGTCATCAAAGAAGCAGTCTGTCGTCGCTCTATCAAGTTGCGAAGCAGAATACATAGCAGCATCGACATGTGCGTGTCAAGCAATATGGCTCAGGAGTCTGATGAAGGAATTGCAACACCAACAAGAAGCACCGACAGAGATTCTCATCGACAACAAGTCAGCTATTGCACTTGCCAAAAATCCGGTAGCACATGGACGAAGCAAACACATAGAGACAAGATATCATTTCATCCGACATCAAGTTAAAAAGAAGACTGTGATGCTGTCATATTGCAAGTCTGAAGACCAAATCGCTGACATCTTCACCAAGCCACTAAAGACAGAGACATTTTTGAAGCTTAAGAAGAAGCTTGGACTTGAGAGAAATGAAAGTTGGTGATGAGGGGGAGTATTAGAATTCCTCACCAACTTAGATTATTCTAGAACAACTTTCTAGAACTTCTTTCTAGTAACATCCTACAAAATATCTACCATGAAGTTTCTAGGAAGATACAAGTGTATGGCTAGTATTTATTCTTCTAGAAACTTCTTAGTAATGTATGGCTAGGATTAACTCTTCTACACACTTCCTAGCCCTCTTAACAACTATAAATAGGGGTCTTGTGCTCTCATTTGGGAATGCAAGCAAGCAAGCAAGAAGTGAGCTTGAGAGCTTGAGTGTGTAGTGTAGCCTTGTGTGAGTGTCCACCAAAATAAAGGAATTGTGTGAAAGTGAGGTGTTCTTGTAAGAACAAGTGTTGTATTCTCAAGTGTTCTATCAATAAAAGTTTCCTTTGTGTAGAGTGTTGTGTTCTTCAAATTCCATCAACATGGAACTTTAGGTAGTACATGTTGGCATGTTGCCAGGGAAAAGTAACTGTCACCACGGAGCTTATACTCTTCTCAAAGTTAGCCAAAGTTAGTCTCAGACTCTCAGTGAATTAATATCAACCTAGACAATAGCACGGCATGTTTAGCCTCAGTGTGCTCCGTTAATGTATAAAATAGCACGTCTTGATTCTAATATTATGAATACAGGTTCCTTTTTCTTTCTACTTACTTACATTGTAATTCGTGTGATGGTACCGAACGAATCCATCCCAAAGACTAATACAGATTTGTGTGTGAAATAGTAGAACTTGTAGGTACAGCTTTTATGTGTGTGAAATATTAGAACTTGTAGGTACCTGGGGTACCAGATACCATCTTTAGTAAGATATATCTGTCTGCTTCATCTTAACGTGGTAATATTATCACCGTTCATGGAGGAAACAGATACTGAAAGATTCATAGAAAATTTTCAAAAATTTCCTTATTTCATATTTAGTTTCCTTAAACCATATTTTAAATATGATAATCAAAGATTGAATGCCACTAATTGCAGGTCAACTGTGTTGTTTTTGACAAAACTGGCACGCTTACACTTGGAAAGCCTACTGTTGTTAGCACAAGGCTCCTCAAAGACATGACCATATACGAGTTCTATGAATATGTTGCAGCTGCTGAGGTAGATATCTCTCTCAGCCTTCCTAAAATAAGATGAGCAGATGATATCTCTGCTATTTAAAATGAGCAGATGATATCTCTGCTATTCTTGTTGGAGTCAAACTGTTCTGCAAGGAGAAAGAAAAAGAAAGAAAAAGCAATCCTTCTGATAAAATTGAGACAGAGAAAGAACAATGTACATAAGCTTCATCCACAATGTTGCTTTAGATGTCTGCAATAACTTGCACACTGCCCTTTACTATTTGAAAGAAGTGTGACATGATGCTAACTCTCTAATGGCATAACCATCACATCATAATTCTGGGTAGATCCCCTGTACAATCACCAAGCTGAACTTACTACCCCTGTAGTTCTGTGGTTGCAGATAGAAACTTGAAAGGTCAAAAACTTTTCACTCAGGGGGTCTATCTGCGACAATAGAACTATAGGGGTAGTATGTTCAATTTGGCGACGGTACAGGGGGTGTATCTGCAATTTACACAATTTTCTTTTCACTTGTTTTCTGCATCACACATCTCAATATGGTGCATCCTTAATAGGTGAACAGTGAGCATCCGTTGGCGAAAGGCATAGTGGAATATGCTAAGAAGCTCAGAGAAGCAGAAGAAGAAAACCATATCTGGCCTGAAGCACGGGACTTTGTTTGTATTAGTGGCCATGGTGTCAAAGCTACAGTTGGCAATATAGAACTCATCATCGGGAACAAAAGTCTGATTGTGGATATAGGAATTAACATTCCAGAAAAAGCCTCTGAAATTCTCATGGAAGTTGAGATTATGGCTCAAACTGGAGTTATAGTCTCTATGAATCATGAGGTTGTCGGAATTATAGCTATATCTGATCCATTGAAACCTGGAGCTGCAGATGTTATATCTATTCTCAATTCTATGAAAGTGAAGAGTATCATGGTAACAGGAGATAACTGGGGTACTGCCAGAGCTATTGCCAAAGAGGTCGGGATTGATACAGTTGTTGCTGAGGCCAAACCTGATCAGAAAGCAGAGAAAGTAAAGGAATTGCAGGTATTTGAAGTGCATTCCCATGGCATTTATAAAGTTCCTGTACTTTTCAATTTTATTCCTCTGAAACGTAAAGATTGCATATGTGCCCTTCAATTAGCAACTTTTCTCTTAATCTAGATTTCTCTTGGAATTGTTTGAGTTTTAACTAAAATACAAGAAACAGGTCCACAAATCTAATTCTCCTTGTGATACTTCTAAATCTATTGATGCCACTAGACTCCAAAATTCTAACCTTAGAGACCCCTTGTCTATGGCATGCCAATACAACTGCAATGCAAAGTATTTGCTGGTCTCATAAATTGCATATAGCAAGTATCGTCAGCGTATTAATTTTTAATAAGCGTAAACATGAACATTGCAATTTTAAATAGCAGATACCATATCGTTGATGAAAATCCCAGAAACTAAATGGATAACAACTCTTCACTTTAGACGTTCTTAGCTATAATTTTTAGCTATAATTTTCTGTTTGCAGAAATCTGGATTAATTGTGGCAATGGTTGGGGATGGAATAAACGATTCAGCGGCTCTAGCATCCGCTGATGTTGGAATGGCAATAGGTGCTGGCACAGACATTGCCATTGAAGCCGCTGACATTGTTCTAATGAAAAACAACTTAGAGGATGTTATTATTGCCATTGATCTTTCTAGGAAAACCTTTTCTCGGATTCGCATGAATTATATTTGGGCACTTAGTTATAATATGATTGGCATACCAGTAGCTGCTGGGGCTTTCTTTCCATCTACTGGACTTCGTCTTCCTCCATGGATGGCTGGAGCTGCAATGGCAGCTTCTTCTGTTAGTGTTGTGATGTGTTCCCTCTTATTGAAGAACTACCGGAGACCCAAGATGTTGAATAATCTTCAGTTTAAAGGGATCATAACTGAGTGATTCTGTAAATTAACAAAGAGGTGTCTGGAATGGTAGTAAAGGGGAAATTGTTGAAAAGCGAATCATCACTGAAGTCTAAGAAGGCTTACTTATGGTTCGCCTATTTCTCACAAAGTGTATAAATTAACATTGAGGATTATGATAATAATCAGGCAAACAATTACAAATTTCATTCAATTATTTACATTAAAGCAACAATTCTAACCAATATCTCGTATTAGATTTGGTATAATTTTGAAGCTTATGTTTAACTTTCTCAAATGTCTTTCAATTGTATTCTCACTCATGTACCTTACGCTCATGCTATTAGGAGTGCTAGTTTGAACTTGTTTAGATATTTATCATATCATCAGTATGGTTAGTACTTAGTAGATAGGCTTGAAAGGCCCGTATACAAGCAGTTAACCTTGTCTTTGTGACATCTAAGGGAGATTGTAAATATTTGTTTGGTATTTGTAGAGGGTGATTGGGGATGCAATGTGTCCCTTTTGCTGATTTTGGTTTCAGAGCAATTTGGACAAATGAATATCCTCAACAGTCTGTGTTTTTGCATTATCGGATTTTATGAATAGTTGGAAAGAAACTCCACAACTGATGATTGCTTTGTCCATTATACAAAAGTCTATCGCGATGACAGAAGAGGTGAAAGAGATAACCTGGTTGACAGAAAGTTTGACAGAAACAGAGTGCTGATGAAGAAGAGAAAAAAAAGAACAGATGACAGATTGCTGAAGAAGAGAAAACAGGAACCAATTGAACTTTTCTATCAACTCTTGATCATTTATTTTTCTTCTCTCTTATTCCTCTTAACCGAGTACAACTCTATTAATAATATCTAAAAGAAACGAACTCTAAAAAAAACAGAATTCTAAAACCTGAACGCTTAACAAAAACTAAACAGAATTCTTATCTCCAAACAACTTAATAATGAACTATGTTTGAGTTTATCCTTTAACAAATTCCTCCCTTAAACTCAAACATTTTCCATCCTTCATTCCAATCATCATCTTACAATTTTCGAATAGCATTGTTGGTAGCGGCTTTGTAAAGATATCCGCCACTTGGTCCCGACTCGCAACATGACTCATTCGCACATTACCTTCCTTCACCTGTTCTCGAATAAAATGAAAGCGAACATCTATATGCTTACTCCTCTCATGGTGCACCGGATTCTTTGCCAACTCAATTGTCGATTTGTTGTCGACTCGTATTTCCGTTGCCTCGTGTTGCTGGAGTTTTAGCTCGTAAAGCAAATTTCTTAAACATATTTCATGGCACACACACAAAGATGCTGCGACATATTCTGCCTCACATGTTGACAATGTCACTATTGGCTGCTTCTTGGAGAGCCATGTGAAAGCCGTGTCTCCCATATAAAACACATATCCCGATGTGCTTTTCCGATCATCTATATCTCCACACCAATCACTATCGGAGTAACCCACCAGTTTATATTCGTTTGTCTCTGAGTAGAGTAACCCGAGTAACTCTGTTCCCTGAATATATCGAAGAATCCTCTTAATAGCCTTCATATGCGAGTGTTTCGGCTCCTCCATGAACCGACTCACTATGCCAACACTATATGCAATGTCCGGCCTTGTACAGGTGAGATACCGTAGACTCCCAACCAAACTCCGGTATTTGTTTGCTTCCACCCGATCTCCTCCATCAAACTTGGAGAGTTTCGTACCGAGTTCCATTGGTGTTGCTACTAAGTTGCATTCTTCCATTTTGTTCTTCAAAATTTCTTTCGCATATGCCTCTTGAGATACAAAAATTCCAGATTTTCCTTGTCTAACCTCAAGACCAAGGAAGTATTTCATCAACTCCAAGTCTGTCATTTCGAACTCCTGAGTCATAGCTTTCTTAAAATCTTTTATCATCTCCTCATTATTCCCCATGAATATAAGATCATCAACATAAAGAGCAACTAACAACAGGTTACCCTTTTCTTTCTTCACGTACAAAGCTTGCTCGTAGGGACACTGTATGAACTTGTTCTCCTTGAAATGGGTGTCGATTCGTGTGTTCCAAGCTCGAGGCGCTTGCTTCAGTCCATACAACGCCTTCCTTAGCTTCAACACTTTATTTTCCCTCCGGCTTTCATGTATCCAGGTGGTTGCTCCACATATATTTCCTCTTCAAGCACACCATTTAAAAAAGCTGATTTTACGTCCATTTGAAAGATCGGCCACCTGAATTGTGCCGCTTGGGATATAAGAAGCCGAATTGTTTCCATTCTCGCAACCGGGGCAAACACTTCGTCATAGTCGATCCCCGCCTTTTGTCTATAGCCCTTCGCTACTAGCTGTGCCTTATACCTTTTTATCTCTCCTTGGGCATTCGTCTTTTTCTTATATACTCATTTTACTCCTATAGGCCGATATCCTTGTGGCAACTCCACCAAGTCCCAGGTTTCATACTCGCCATTTCTTATCTATCACTTCATCTTCGAAGGTGATATTCTCGGCATCTGCCAACAAGCATATCAAGTGTACTTCGCTTGTCGATTCGTATAGGTCTTGCAAACTTCGCATCCTTAGTTGTATCGGCTCTTCTTCTTCATCAGATTCTTGAGGGGTTGTTAGTTTGGTTATTGGTGTAGCGATTGATGATTCTTTTCCTTCCTTTTGCGTCACCTCCTTTTGGCAATTCCAATTCCACGTGCTTTCTTCATTCACCTACACATCTCAACTCACAACAACCTTCTTTTCAATTGGGTCGAATAACCTGTAAGCTTTTGTCTTCTCGTCATAACCAATGAAGACATACTTCTTGCTCTTATCATCTAGTTTGGTTCTTCTTTGATCTGTTACGTGCGCGTAGCCTACACCCCCGAATACTTTTAAGTGTGATACGGTAGGTTTCTGTCCGCTCCAAGCTTCCTGCGGTGTTTTATTCGCCAGTTTTGCATGTGGGCACCGGTTTTGTACATACACAGCACACTGCACTGCCTCTGCCCAGAAATTTTTCAGCATCTCTTTGCTCTTCAACATGGACCGAACCATGTCAAGAATAGTCCGGTTCTTCCTCTCGACTACACCGTTTTGCTGAGGTGAGTAGGATGCGGTTAAGAATCTCTTGATCCCATGTTTCTCGCAATAGCTCGTGAAGGCGGTTGACATATGCTCTCCGCCTCTATCTGACCGTAGAGCCTTGATATAAAAACCGGTCATTTTCTCTACTAACACCTTGAATTTCTTGAGCGCCTCGAGTGCCTCGGATTTTTCTTTCAAAAAATAAACCCAAGTCTTTCTTGTGTAATCGTCAATGAAAGTAATAAAGTACCTCTTCTCACTAAATGACTTAGGTGTGATCGGACCACATATGTCGGTGTGTATCAACTCGAGAGACCTCCTTGCACGATATTCAGCCTTCTTTGGAAAAGTATTCCTCGCTTGTTTGCTGAGCACACATCCCTCACAAAATTTCTTGATGTAATCCATGTCTGGTAGCCCGTGTACCATACCCTTCTTTGCTAATTCTCTTAGGCCGCTGTAATATAAAGGTCCAACCCGTAGGTGCCACAGCGAGGCTTTATCCTCCATGTTAACTTGCAAACACTTTTATTGCACGTTTCTCAAGTTGAGTTTGAACATATGATTCTTGGCCATCTCCACATGTGCAAGCAACCGACCTATTTTGTCCTTCAAATGCAACATCCTATCTTTCATAAAAAATTGAATATCCCTTCTCCATTAGTTGCCCCATGCTAAGGATGTTACTCTTCAATTCAGGCACATAATAAACATTCTCAATCGACCCTTCTTTACCATCTTTCTGAAAAAAAAAACAGATTTTACCTTGGCCCTTGACTTGAACCTTCGACGCATCTCCAAATCACGTGCTCATCCTCTATCTTTTGCATCTCCACAAAGAGGTGTTTGTGCCCGCACATGTGATTACTAGCGCCGGTATTGAGGTACCACACTGTGTCGCTGTCCGGAGTAGTGTCCTTGCAAGCCATCATGAGAACACTATCGTCACTTGTTTTCTCTTCCGCAACTAGATTCATATTTTCTTCCACCTTTTTCTTGGAATAGCAATCCTTTGCATAGTGACCATACTTGCCGCAGTTGTAACACTACATTTGAATAGCACTCCTTTGCATAGTACCCATACTTGCCGCAGTTGTGACATTCGACATTTGAACGATTTGACCGGCCGCCTCTCCCACGACCACGCCAATTTTGTTGGCCTCGGCTGGCCCTTTCCTTCAGAATTATTTCCACGTCCGCGGCCTCCACCGCAACCAAAACTGCGACCTCCACGGCCACGTCCCCTTCATCGGTTTTGAAGTGTGTACATCGCCTTGTCCTCCTTGATAGTTGCTTTAGCTTGTAAGGCCTCCTCGAGCAGCTCTTGTTTTTTCTTCTTCTTCCGTTGTTCATGCGCCTCAAGAGAACCAGCGAGATCATCGACGGTCATCTCTTCCAAATTTCTCAACTCCTTAATTGCACATACAACGTTGTCGAAATTCTCGGTTAATGATCGTAGAATCTTCTCCACAACCCTTGCCTCGGTTAGGATTTCTCCATTGCGTTTGAGTTGATTCACCACTGTTTGCACATGCTTGATGTAGTCAGATATTCCTTCTGACTCCTCCATCTTCATGGCCTCCAACTCACCTCGAAGAGTTTGAAGCCGCACCTGTTTAACTCGGTCAGTGCCCTTGAAGACCTTCTGCAAAGTGTCCCATGCTTCCTTCGAAGTTGTCGCACCAGCAATTTTCTCGAAGCCCGACTCATCCACTGCTTGGAACAATAAATAGAGAGCAGTCTTGTCTTTCATACGCGTTTCTTTCAACGCCTTTATCTGATTCACCGTCTGATTGGCCGTTGCTTCCGGCTCTTCATAGCCAACTTCGACTACTTCCCATGCATCTTGCGCACCGAGCAACGCATGCATATGAATACTCCAGTTATCATAGTTTGACTTGGTGAGTCGTGGCAACGGTATCTGCCCCAACGATGTACTCCCTGAATTTACCTTGGCTCTGATACCAATTTGACAGAAACAAAGTGCTGATGAAGAAGAGAAAAAAAGAACATATGACAGATTGCTGAAGAAGAGAAAACAGGAACCAATTGAACTTTTCTATCAACTCTTATTCCTCTTAACCGAGTACAACTCTATTAATAATCTCTAAAAGAAACGAACTCTAAAAAAAAACAGAATTC